AGTTCAGTGGTGCTGGTAGTAGAAATCGTGCTAGGAATATCACTAGTACTCTCAGAAGTAGTCGACGGTAGTTCAGTGGTGCTGGTAGTAGAAATCGTGCTAGGAATATCTGTGGAGCTCTCAAGTGTCGTTGGCAATTCAGTTGGAATATCTGAAGTGCTCTCAGCAGTCGTGGGGATCTCAGTGGTGGTCTCAGGTGCCGTTGGAGAAGGCACTTCAGTCGTGCTAACAGTGGTTGGTGCATCGCTGGTGGTATCTTTATCTAAGCCAAGGATACCAGTGGTGTGCAGATCATCAAGGGGCAAGTCCTTCACCACTTCCGTGAAGTCCTCCACAGAGCACGCATACGAATAGCCCTCATGTAGATCCTCCTTAATCCAGGAAACCCACCTCAGCCGATGTCCAACATCCTCGCACAAAATATATTCACTTTGAATTTGTTCCAAGGTGACATAGGGATTGTTGACACCCACCAGGACGATGCCCTCTCGACTAGCACGATCAATGATGACGCGGAAATACAGTTTGGGAACTGGTATCAGGCCATTGTTATTTTCATCGAAGTCCAGGTAGAGCTCACGCTCGATGCCCTCGAAGTCGGGCAGCGTGGACACTCCCCAGGTTCCGGTATAGCAGTCAACAGTCAAATTCTGATCGGCAACAAATTTGCGAACGCTCGATTCGACACGCTCCCAGTTACCGCCATTGAAGCTCTGCCACTGAGGGGCCACATTGATGAAGATGAAAGTGGACATTTGGGCCGCGCCAAAGATCTGATCCGTTTTCGCAATCAAGTGGCCGCGAGCCAATATCCGATCGTCGCTATAGTTGAAGTATGGGCTGGCATCAAGGCCCAGAATGTTGCTTATAGTGATATTCTGCTCTACTTGCGTGTACTTTTTATTGACATCTCGGCCTTTGTAGAAGTCCAGAGTAATAAAATTCGGTCGCGCCACACCGTGCTGATAGTCGTAGCTGGAGGGGTACAGCACATGGTGTACATAGCGTGTGGCCTCGGAGTCCTCGTCATGGCACACATCGAAGGTTTGCAGGAATCCGTCGTCCTCCAACTGGAAGCCAACTTTGACCAGATCCGTGCCACCGTTGCACTGCCGACCAGTGCGCAGCGCCGAGAAGGTCGGCCAGGCCGCGCAGCTGAAGTTGGCAAAGGGATAGACCAGGCCATCGACCAGAAAATACTTTTTCTGCAGGCACTGCGCAGTCAACTGGGTCCGCGTTTGAAAGGGTGCCGCAAAGCCAGCGCCAGGGCAGAACATATCCAGCAGTTCACCATTTTGAAGACGCACTGTGTCCGTAGGGTCCGGCACGATGATCTCGAAATAGTTATGTCGCGCCAGAAGCGGCGCTGGATCATTGAGATCGCCATTGACTCGAAACTCGCAGTCCCCGAACACGGGCACGCCCTGATCCCCTTCGTCGAAGGGCAACACGCGCGATAAACGTGCAGCGGTGGAGCTGAGGCCGACCAGCAGCTCGAGGATTAGGATCACAGTCACGTCGCACCTCATAGCACTACACGCGAGTAGATTATGCCAACACATTCCTCGAGCAGTGCCGTCTTTATATGCCAAATTCTACATATGTCGTATGTCGACCAAACTGTTATCACAACTTAAAAGTGTTCGACTCACTTATTTATGGCAGTTGATTATATTGCAGATTACGATTGCGGCAGCGCAAATAGGACTGACCAATGCTCTATACCTCACCTGTGAGCTGACAGGTGCTCCATCTATTATCTTAATTCTTATCAATTATAAGAATTTATAGCAATATCGAATATCGACTGGATATAGTCAAATATCTTAACAAGGCATTTTTGTAACATTTAGAGCCATCTATAGTATAATTCCCAACTGATGCCATAATAGTTGCTTATCACAGTTTATGACACAATTATTTGATTATACAAAATGTTTATATTTGGAAGCGAAATAGACATTTTTCCAAGTAATTCGTCAGCACAAAAGCAACAAAACGAGACTGCTTGACTAGGAGATACCCTGAACCCTCTAATCTGACATTCTAATCACTCTGCACTTCTTTTAGACACACATACATCCACACTCACGCGTAAGCCCGCGCTCTGCTAACTGCGAAGTAAGCAGCGACTGCGCTTGGGCTGCGCTGCAGTGTGGGCAATATTAAAAGAATTTATTTGTTGAAAAATCTAATTTCTAGACGTACAATCTTAATGAAACTTTTAGAACTCAGTCATAATTTTCAGATACATGTACATTCCAAAGCACAAGTCTTTAGCTTTTTACAAAGGTGATGGTGAGGGGGTGGATAAAGGGGTGGGGGATATATTACAACAAAAACCGAAATTATATAAGTTACACATAAGTCTACATTGAAAATTTGTAAGCTCTTGCTTTATTTTAATCGATAATAAAATATCGGAACGTTGCAGTCGAGCGTTACCGACTGCGGAATACTGATTCACACCCCATAAGCATTTTAGTAGCCAAGTTTAGCTCTATTACTGATGAAATTTGCGACGCCTTTACTGGACGTCATTTTCATTTCATTCATTTTTAGCCAGTTCTTAGACGAGCTTACGGTAAGCTAACTGCAAAATTTGGATACTCACACTCCCAAAACGTGAACATAACAGTGTATTTCTCGAAATTCCACGCCCCTAAAGAAGCGTAAATATTATTTTTGGGTCATCGATAGAGTAGCCTACTAGTAAATAAATTATCCAAATTTGCCGCTTCTAGCTCTTATAATTTAGGAGGTATAAACTTTTTCGGTTAGCCACGCCTCTGTGGGCGGACATATATCCGTTGAAGCTCTTTGGTCTGGGGTGGTCAGCCCAAGTATATAAAATTTGAGGTCTCTAGCACCAATAGTGTCTAAAATATAGCAGAATTTACCAAGTCACTATATCTTCAAGTCCGATGTGCGTGGCTCACCCCTAATGAGCGTAGACATATAATTTGTTTATTAATTTTTATAGAATCATAAAATTAGCTCACGTGCAAAATTTTAAAGTCTCAGAGTAATCATTTAGACCCATCTATAAAATAATTCCTAACTAATGCCATAATAATTGCTTATCACATTTTATGGCACAATTATTTGATTATAGAAAATGTTTATATTTGGAAGCGAAATAGACATACTTCCAAGCATTTCGTGAGCACAAAAGCAGCACAAAAATCGATCTGTCAAACACTAATTGATTTCCTTTGCCGACATTTGCAATTTAGAAGCCATTTATGAACACAGGAATCAAATATTTATTTGGGGTCCAAAAAGCATTGGCATCAATGCCATCAAATTCAACGACAGGCAAAGGCACTTCATGCGATTATTTGCACTAAAGACCCACACCAAAAAAAATAATCTACCGATGCGTATGTAGACTAATTTGCAGCACTGTACGTGCGTGCGAATTTCGGCAATGGAATTCCCCAATTCCGTTGATAAAAAAAATAGACCGTCTGTAGAATAAAAACATGACTATGTAATACCCTGCACAGAGAACCAAGACGAATGCAAACAATTTCGGAATTCTCTTATAGCCCACGGCAATCATTCTGTGGGCATAGGGTATGCTCCATTAGAGAAAAGAAAACATCGAAATTATATGTAAAAACAAATCATTTGGTAATTGGATTTGCAGAAATACAATTTATTCGCATTTGTTGCTGACAGCTGCTACTCACAGACTCACAGAGGTCCTGCCAATAAAATGCAATAAATAAGTGAACACTTCTCGATGCATGTCAATTGACTCGAAAAGAAATATTATTCAATAGAATGGCGCTTGACGTAGTTGTTGATTTAATTCAGATAGTTACTCTAAGTGCTAATCAATGGGTGCTTGTCACTGTTCGCTGATAGCAGGCGCCAAAATTACTGATTTGGCAACGGAATCATTTCGAGTGCCATTGACACACAATTTGCGTCTACATGACATCGACAGTCTATTAATTAGCTTGATTTATTTATGAAAACTCGAACGCAAAATCCATGTCGCAATTGCGCTTTGCACCCATTGCAGACAATTGCCTGGCTGTCTACCTAAGTGCTGCAAATGAATGAGTTAATTGGGCTTGTATTCATTTTCGTGCCCAACAACTGAGACTGCATATTTGGCTAGGCAACGCTGACAATGACAACCTGCGCATAAATTATGATTTTCGATAATTTATGTTAACCAATAGTAACACATGGCGTATACGCATTGTCCTTGTCATTGGTTGCCAATTAAAATAGTTGCCCAAATTGAAATCAGAAATGGGAAAAGGGAGAAGAAAGATGGAGGAAGAGAGCAACAGCAGCAGCAACAGCATCTGCCACTTGGCACTTGGCACTCTTGCTAATGGCCACGTTAATTATAATTTTTCATTTGCACTTCTTTTCAATGTTCACCCCATCGCCCTTGACAGATGGCTGCTCAGTGCAGCGCGCAGGTCTCTGCTCAATTAAAAGTGCATTAAGATATCGCGGAGCGGGTCGCCAGCGCTAAGGCGCCAGGTGCTGGCTGATAATTTCTTACCTGATTGCAGTCACTTAATGAAAGTGCTTAATTCGTCAGGGACAGCTGCAGTAAACGACATTGAATGTTGCTGCACATACTTTCTGTGCACAATGTTGCAATTAAATGTGAAAGCAATAGATGGAACATTGAAATATTGAGACTGTTGTGAATCATATTAATTATGATTCTCAACTAAGAACAGTACTATCAGACATATATTTATGTATCTATATAGAGCACTCACTCAATAATTTAAAAACTATCTTTAATGCCACTACGGAAACGAAATCGGCTGCAGAAATATGCATACATATATAGTTATAGCTTTATTTCATCTTCTTGTTCAACGTTTGTTAAAAAGTGAGCTGAAAAGTTCTTGTATAGCGTATAAGCCCCCTCGAATAACACTGATACGCCGTGTGACCGACGCTGTTGATGGCAACAGCGCGGCATTGAATAAATGAAGAAGAAGAAGAAGCAATGTAGATGGCGATGGCGTTGGCGTTGGCGATAGCGATGGCCAAACCGGCCACTGGCACTGATGGCCAACAAGGCGGCTTTCAAGTGCAGCTGGCTAACGCGCCAACTGCAAAAGACAGCGCCAAACAGGGCAGCGAAAAAAGCAGCGCACTCATTTTTTATACATTTTCGTAGCTTTTTTCTTACTTTTGTTTTTTAATTTTTTTTATATTTTTTTCTGAAGGGGATGTGGCTGAGATTTTTGTTGTGCTCTCGCCGGGCGTAAGCAATTTTTGCAGCTCTCTTTCTCTTAAGCGAAACATTTTAATTTAAATGGTAAAACGTGACGATAGCGCAGTCACTGGGGGATATGAGGCTGTCTCCTGTGCGTCAAAATGTCAGTCAGTCAACGACATATGCATTTATGCATAATGCGCACACTAACATTAGCAGCAGTAAGCTTTCCAGTTAACAACTCACTTATTCTCTTCATAACTGGCATAGAATTGACCCAGAGACACAGAGCTATAATTGCCATTAAGGGAAATCTCTTCAATTCACTTTACTCCTCATCGTGAAGTACTCCTCTAGAGTAGTAGTGTCCTAGCTATTGCAGGGTATTCCCTTGTTGCTGTTGCTTGTTTGCCCTTGCTGCATGTCCGCCAATCTTGTTGCTCTGTCATTGTCAGTCTCGTGTAAATTTTTGCCACTGTTATTGTTGCCGCTGTGGTGGTTATAGCCTGTTACTTGAGTGGATTACCAGCGATGTTCAACATCCAATATCCAACGAGACGGGCGCAGCCCGTGGACGAAAAAGTTGTTAAATTATGCCTGCTCAAAAATTTGAATGACGGCGCGCTTTGGTTGAGCCCAGGGCAAAAATACAAAATAAAAAAGAAACGTGGATTCTGTCGAGCTGTGGTAACCACAGCTCAAGTGCCAATTAATAAGTTTCGCCATCGGTATGCGTAAAAAATGCCCAGCAACAGCAGCAGCCACAGCAACAACAACAACAACAACAACAACAACAACAATGAAATGGAAGCCCTTCGGTCATCAGCCTTTTGCCTGTGCCCTGCAACGCCGCTGTGTGCAGTTGATGCTGTTCAGTCGTTTGGTCAGCCCTGTATGCATGAATTATTCAAAGAAAAGGATATTAAATGCAAATACAAACACACTTACACACACACATACACACACACATGTGTATGTATGAACGTTTATGTGATGTCCCTGTGCTGTGTGTTTGTCGAAGAAGGATGAGGGCACGCTTGAGTAATTGGAAGTTTTTACTGCCGCCTCGTTTGCCGTAATTCCGCGCACGCTGTTGCTCTACGTGTTGTTCTCGTTGTTGTTGTTGTTGATGGAGCAAATTTTAATTAATAATGTGCGGCTTCACACATTGCCATAAAATATTCATGCTGCTCAGTGGGTACTTTAGACTGTCGTTGAATTTTATTGATAAAATTACGAGTGCCTTACGCTGCTTAGCTGCAGCTTTTATTAAGCTTATGCGGGTTAAGTCTGAGATCATAATATTTGATTCAAGACTGCACCTTGCGTGATCGAGCGTGTGTAGGGGCAAACAATTCTGTTGTAATTGCATAAAGAAAATGATATATGTAAATTGAAGGTAATCAAAGTGCTGAAAATATGTCACTCAGTCAGTTGGGCTTGTTTGTCTTTTGTCTCATTGCTAACAGTATGACGATTATCCATTATCACGTATCCATTATCAATTGGCACAAATTCTGACCGAAATATTTATTCAGCTGCCAAATGGAACAATAAGTATATTTATATGTAATCCATTTCGATGAGAGAGGGTCGCCTCAAGCGCATTATTGTTGCCATTGTTGTTCTGTTGTTGGTTGTTTGTTGCCTGTTGCTATTTTTCTTTCACTTCAGACGTAGCTCGTTTCACTTTCCGGCTTTTGCTCTCCCTGAGCACTGGGCTGGGCTCTCTGGCACAAAAGGAAATGTTCAGCAACAATGTATGTTGATTTTAACTTTACCATGTTGCTGCAGTTGCTGTTGCTGTTGCTGTTGTTGCTTTTGTGTGCGCCATTGTTGGTATCTGTAATGTTGCCGTTGTGCTGGCTGCAACGTTTAATTCAATGTAAACGTGTTAAAGCGTGCCCCGCATGCGAAAAAACACAAAAACTCGTTTAAATTGATACAAATAAGCAATGGCGGTACAACTGACTGGCTGACTGATGGGCTCCACTTGCAGACGATCGAACCACTTCAACTGCTGCCTGCCTGCCTGGCTGCTGCTCGTCTGCCAAATAAAGGCAGCATCATCATCATACGTACATATATCATGTTACGCGCATGAGGTGGTCCCATCAGCATCTGTGACAATGGAAATGTTAAATTCTCTCATTTAATTTGATTTTAATTTCATTGCTTGCAGTGTGGCGGCGAATGAAACTGAAATTGAATCCCGACCAATAATCAATCAGTCTTTAATTAAGTCAAAGCTTTACGCCTGTCCCTGACGCGCTTGCATTAATGTAAAAGCATTGAAAGTGAATATTAAATAAATTATTTCATTTGTGTGGTAACTTTTACCACTTTTCAGTGAGTACAAGGTTGATTACCTATATTCGAGTCGTTTTCGGAAGAAAGGCGTACTTAAGTCTGGGAGCAATAATACATGATCCCACTATGATTTAATTGAAGTATTTCCATGAAGCCAACTCAAACTCTGAGCAGCTGAGAACGTGGGTTCCCTCAATGAGTGGCTATAAATGACGAAAGTTAATTTATATACAATAGATCACTTAGGTTTCAGTACCTTACCACTTTCGAAGTCACATATTTTAGAATGGGAACTTTGAGCTTCAGGAATCGTTGACTCGCTCCTGTTTTGTTTGCACAGAGAAGTTCTGAGACGTCATTAATAAAATCAGAGTTCAAGTTGCCCGACGCAATGCGCAGTTGCTGCAGCTGCTTGCATTCCCCTATCACTCGTAGCATAGCGGCAGATATGTCGACTCTGCTGGACATCCATATGCTGAGTGCTTGGAGCTGTGTTAGCTGCGCTAGCATCTCCACACACTCAGCTGTCGAGCAGAAGCACTTCAGCTGCTGCAAGCCGCTCAGTCGAACCAGTTGTCGAGTCTCTTCGGTGCTAAGGCTGCCGCCGTCGATGTCGAGGCGTTGGAGCTGCGGTCGCGCAGCCAATCCGGTGAGCAGCGGCAGAAAGGAGTTGCTGCTCCGAATGCCGTAATATATGAGCTGTCTGAGCTTCGGCAGCTTGGCGATTGCTTTGTATGCCGGCGCTTCTCCTATCATGCCAAACTGAAGAGTTTCCAGATTAGCACAGTAGGGCGCAATGTCGCTCAGAATCCGCTGTACACTGGAAAATCCAAGGTGCAGATGACGCAGATTGGGGCTCGACTTGCAGCAGTTGGTTAGAGTTGGTGCACTTAGTGTCTTTACAATCAAGTGTAACTCCTCCAGATGCTTCAGTTGGCCCAAGTTGTCAAAGGTGAAATCTGCAAAGTCAGAACGATCAAGCGAGCTTAAAAAAGTGATCCCTGAGTGTATTTCTATACCATCGATCGCATGCAGCTCTAGCACTCTAAGCTGCTTCAAGTCCTTGACTGCAGCTAATGTCTTCTCAAAGGGTTGCGCAAAGAGGAGCATGAACTTAAGTTGTTTGACTATCAATTTTCTCAGGTTTGTCATGCCTGTCAGTGCTAAGCTCAATATGCTAAAACAGTTTAGAGGCGCTACGCATCCATAGTTTCTCAGCGCTCGGGACGAATCAAAGTGATCCAGATCGATGGTCAGCTCCTCGACGGCCTCGCGGCAAATGCAAAATCTGATCAGCTCCTGCTTTGAGCTCTTCTCATCGATCGTGAAGTGTCGATAATGTCTGCCGGCCCAATCGATGAAAACGTCGCGGAATCGCTGGCAGGCCTGGGCATAACTTATTTGATCTTCAGTCGACAGATAGCCCAGCAGATATCTTAGACAGTCATCCTGCAAATCCAGAATATGTGAAGCGCTCATCTTGCCAAGCGAGCAGCACGCCTTGTTTTGATTGTGAGACTGAATCGCAAATGTGAATAAATATCAAGCAATTTGCAATGCCAGCAAAAGGCCACGTAACTCAAACAGCATGCGTAATCAGCTGCCATTCATACAGAGATACACACACCGCTAGACCGGTTCTACTACGGGCACTGTAACTGACCCTCCGCAAAGCTGTTTATTGTGCCTTACTATTCTCGCATTTCGCAATTGATTTCATTTATTTCTAATTTCACAACAAATATCATCGTCTGATAATGTCGTTGTAAAAATAACACTTGTTGGCGTAGGTCGTAACTACCGGCTACAGATTTCCCAATGTTTCTCAGAAAAATTCTGAGAGCAATTGATTACGTCGGTTCTGCGTTGAGTTTGTTTGCGATCGGCTTGGGCTTTTTTTCGTTCCGGTTCTTTCCCGAGTCAAATCAAGCAATCGTATTGGTGAAATGAAATTCTCGAGTTATTTAACCACTTGGGAATCTCATTGTACGAAAGTCATTCGTAAACCGTGTTCGTTTAAAGAGCGTTCAAGCTCAGTTGGAATCCGAAAAAAAATAAATAAACGCGAAAGCAAATCAATATGAATCTTCAATCGGTTCAGCCTCTTTACGCTGTTTTCTTGTTCAAGTAAATATCATTTATGCTGTGCAAAATATCCAATAAAAAAACAGTTTCATCTACATTATTTATGTTTCTGCTAAAATTTATTAAAACGAAAATTTATCGATTATAAAAAGTCCTAAGTCCTAAGTCTGTTAATTGTGAAATACCAAGCCTCGTGTGTTTGCTTTTTTTCTCAAGAGCGGCGTTCGGCCTCTTTTAGGCTCTTTGTCCATGTACGGCATGCCTTCGAACGGCGGTACGGGATTGTTTACAACATGAGAGTGCACCTTCTTCAGCTGCAGCTGCAATCGCTCCTGGTAGTCCTCAATGGTCGGTTTAATTGCGGGACCCGCAATCGGCGTGGCCTTCGTGCAGCTGGGCAGCTTTTCCTTCTCAGATGGTTTCAGTTTCTTGGTTATCCCAGAACGCACCCAATGGAAGCGGTCGGTCCTCGGCTGTAATGTTTTGCCATTATAGCCATCGCCAAACTGCAGCAACTTGAGACTGTCGATGTCGGGCGGCTCTGATTTGGTGTCAGTGGAATGCACCGACTCGGAGCATTCGTTATAGTTAATGCCACGGGAAGTCGCATATTTGGAGGTCTTGTCGCCGCATACTCCGGAGCTATCACCGCTAGTTGAAGTGTTTGGCTTACCCCTGCGCTTCCTCTTCACGGTGTCCGCTTCGGAACGGCACTTCTTATTGGAGACCTGTTGCTTTGGCTTTCCATCACTGTTCGGCGGATGGATGTGATCAAATATGATGTTTCGCAATACGATCTTATTGTTGACCAACGTTGGCATGAACAGCTGCGGCTCACGCCCTGGATACTCAACCAAAATAGCGCTTTGGCTCAGTATCAGCTTCAAAGAAAATTTTAACTGATTGGTTTTGAAATGCATTGGTTTGGCCAAATCTTTACTTTATCATAGACAAACTTTTACATTACTGAACTGGAAAATGTTATTGATATTTACACATCAAAATATTATGTATTTATATGTATTGAAGTTTAGCACCCGTCTGTTTTGTCAACTCACACGAGTTCTGTCGACCTTTAATAAATTAATTTGACACTTCTCTGGTTTCCTTTGAATACTGCTTGCAGCGTTTCCTTTTCTGTCTAGTTGAAGATTTGTCCTTTAGCGGCTTTTTCATTTTGTTCACTTGTTGGCTTTTTTGTACTCTCTGTCCACCTTTCTGTTTATTGAGAACATTTTCTGCCTTGGGGGGAGCTGCCAACAGGCTGGATAGCCCAACAGCCTGGGTTACCAAAGAGGCAGCCGAATCACTTGGCGACTTTTGTGTACACTGATTTCTGTTCGATCTAGCAGATGCACATTGCGCCAGCTCGTTAGCAGAGACGCGCTTCATGGCAACGCAACGGCTACAAATGTGAGGCAGGAAGATCTCAGATTCATAGCCATTACATTCCACAAGCACCACCTTGCCGTTCGAAATAAGCTTGAGCTCGAAGCGTAGTCTCCTAGTGTTACCAGAGTTGGGCGCCAAGCCAGCCGTTGCTGTGGTCAGCTTGAAGTTCCGTATCCTCGGACATCGATGATCCGACGACGATGACTGGGCGCTCAGCTCACCTGGCGGTGACTTGGGCTGCCGGCTGCCTATCACATTCCTCAAACGGATCCGGCCCCTGTGCAGCTCGGGCAGAAATATTTCGGACTCATAGCCCCGCGCATTTACTAAGACAACACTCCTGTCAGCCAGCAACTTTATGTGAAATCTAGACTTGTTCTCGGATGCAGTGCTACTGCACATATTTCAAGGGCCTAACAGCGGCAACTGGAATTTGATACGTTCAAAAATGATCAACTGGAATTGGCTCGGCCTCCTCTCAGTGGGATCGTTAGTACATTTGTTAATCTTAGATTTATCATATATCCAAAAAGTTGTATTTTGTTGTTGTTTGTGATTTGAGCAACATGTCGCTTACTGTTGATTGTATTTTCAAACTGGTCTGATGAGCCAAATTAAATACTTTCTATAGACAGGGAGAATTTTTTCAATTAAATGTAAATGTAGCGCTGACACCTCTCATATACATATTCCACCCATGCCATTGGGTTAACCTCCAAATGACATTTAATATCAGCGCCGGGACTGCTAAATTGAATAGCTCCAATTCGCGTTCCGCTCACAGGAGCCAGCCAATAAAGAAAACCACAAAACCAGCCACGTAAGACTATCAGCGATGTACCAGAATCCAATACCCAGCATTTTTTCCTAATTGCATCAAAGAGCAGGCGAATTTATGGCCCCAACTATTAAACGTCCGAGTTTCTGGCCGCACGCCGGCTGTGTTTTATGTGGCCCACGTAAATGTAGCTGGGTGGTTGGACAGCATCCTTGAGCGCAAAAAAAAAAAACCGACAACCACTTTCGGTTGGTCAGAGTTGTTTCAGCTGGCCCGTTGGTCGGTTGCCTAGCTCAGCGAAATATAAAAAATTCAATTATAAGCATTTATAATAGCGTAGGCTTGACTCTGACACCGCTGCATGCGGTTCCCGCGTACAGGGGCATGCACATTATCTGCCAGGGCTTAGGGGTGTACGTAAATAGAATGATTACATTAAAGTTGTGGCCAAATAAGTTGGCTGAAGC